AAGGTGGATGCCAAACTGGAGAAGGAGAAAAAAGAAGAACGAAGGAAAGAAAATAAGAGTAAACTGTGGCGGTGGACGGTGGTTGTGATCTTTGAAGTAGAAGATGGAAGTGATATATGAAGGTGGACCCGTGGAAGAAAACTGAAGAAGAAGGGGAAAAATGAGGAAAGAAGGAAAAATAAAATAAAAAAAGTCTGCACCGCCGCCTGCATAATCAGAAGTCAGGAATCAAATTTCTAAAATCTGATTTCCTGAATAATGAGCCAAATGCTTATTTAAAAAATCAGATTACAAAAGTTAAATATAATAATGAAACAAACGGTTCAAGCTTTGGTTTAGGTTNGATGATCCCAACAGAAACTCGTGTGTTGCATAAGTTTGCGCCAAGCATTATAAGTATTTTTCAACCAGAAGAACTTAGAAACTAATTGTCCTACGTCGAGCTTCTTCCAAGCCAACGGTTCCAAATCAACCAACATATTCTAGTAATCCGTCGTTTTAATTGCAGTACCATGGGCATTTTTCACACGCTCAGACAACAGAATCAGAAATTGGTAGGTCATTTCATCGGACTAGCTAACGTTATAACTCATCTAACAACAATACAATGGAACGACAAACAAAATTGAGACATTGTAATAATGAAGCAAACACATCAACACTCACATACGCAAATTAAACCCTCAAAACTAAATGTAGAGAAACTGTTACCTCATTTGATCTAAAACTACTTGAAGGTGTCAATACATGAGAAGATATGGGCAAGGTTGACCAACAGCATCTACGACAGACTCGAAGTATGTAAAAACGTTGAAACTACCTCCTTTGCCTATAATAGTACTGAATCCTACGAGGTGACACTTTCATTACAAACACATCTCTTCATCCGACAACTCCAAACCTGCAAAATAGATGGATATCTTATATTAGTAAGAGTTAACTACAGAATCAACGAAAACGATATGATTTAATAGTCTCAAAAAGCATCATTTTTAAAGTATTTCCAAATGTTACAAAAACATGAACGAATTAAATTAATATAATATGTTGTAATTTAAAATAAAAAATAGATGTCCCAACTACAAATTTCGTGTTGCCGAAACTTGTTGGTAAAATAACCGAACCCAGTTTTGCAAATTTTGATTGACGAAATTGCCCCTTTCACATTTCTTTACCTCTTAGAAAGGCATTTTATCCCCTATTCCAAATAATTTTTTTTTAACTGCAAATTGCCCCTTTCAGATTTTCATTTAATTCACGTATTTCATATCATGTTCGTTTCCCCCCTCATCTTCCCTTCTTATTTTTTTTACCTTTTGAAAAACCCAAACCCGTTTGGAACTTTGGTGGTTCTTGGTTGGAGGTGGGTGGCCGACGGTGGGTGAACGTCACTGGGAAATGTGCACCGATGGTGGCAATCGGAAGATGGTGGCCTCGGGTTGGAGGAGGGTGGCCGACGATAGGTGAACTTCACCACAAAAGGTGCGCCGACGGTGGTTAAAAAGGATGGTGGGCTCGGGTTGGATGAGGAAACCGAGATGGTGGCGGATCTCCAGTTCTGGGCGCCGGTGGTTGCGCTCTAAACTGGTGGCCTGGGGCTGGAGCAGGGTGGCCCAAGGTGGTCCGAAGAACCCGAAAATGGTGGTTGGTGATCGTGGTCGTACCTGCTGGCCTTGCTTTGTCGGAGGAAACCAAAAGATGGTGGTGTTTCTTGAGTCAGCGGAAGAATGTGTTTTGTAATGCAGGTGGAAGAGAGTGTTATGGTGGTTGTAACATGGAAGAGGGTGGCGGTGCGTCTGTAATTTTTGAAGAAGAAATGTGGAAGAGGGTAGCGGTGGTTCTGATCTTTGAAGAATAATGTGGAAGCCGTGGTATAGGGTGGAAGGCTGGAAGCCGTAGATAAGCTGAAGAAGAAGGAGAAGAAAGAAGGAAAATAAAAAAAAAGTAAACTGCCGTCACAAGTTTCCGATCTTTGAAGAAGAAGGTGGATGCCAAACTGGAGAAGGAGAAAAAAGAAGAACGAAGGAAAGAAAATAAGAGTAAACTGTGGCGGTGGACGGTGGTTGTGATCTTTGAAGTAGAAGATGGAAGTGATATATGAAGGTGGACCCGTGGAAGAAAACTGAAGAAGAAGGGGAAAAATGAGGAAAGAAGGAAAAATAAAATAAAAAAAGTCTGCACCGCCGCCTGCATAATCAGAAGTCAGGAATCAAATTTCTAAAATCTGATTTCCTGAATAATGAGCCAAATGCTTATTTAAAAAATCAGATTACAAAAGTTAAATATAATAATGAAACAAACGGTTCAAGCTTTGGTTTAGGTTACTTTCAATTAAACTTTGGGCTGGATATGGATCCGAACCCATAGCATATCGGGTTAAGATATCTTAACATGGAGCCCATTCCCGCCCACACAAATGAAAGGAGAACTGAAGAGTGAAGAAAGCTCAGATCCCTAATTTCCAAATTTGAGTGCTTAAACCCTAAACCTATCACTCATCATTACAGGAAGTCAGGAACCTCGTTCGGCTGAGACGACTGCCTGGTTTCCGTCCGAATCTTTCCATTTCAGAATAACAGGCAAGCTTTGTTTCTTTTTACTTTACATTATTGATGTGCTAAACAACTGCTAAAACTTCTTAAAAGTCCTCACATGATGAATCCCTTTATTTGCAAAACCCTAATATCACTTTACTTGAAGAACTCTCTGCACGTCCGAAAACCACCGATTACATACTCAATTTCGCTCCATTTCTTCTCTACTTCTTCGTCTAGGTCAAAATCTAAAATTTCCTTGGCTGATTACTTAATCAATCAGCACAGTTTCTCTCCTGAAGCGGCCTTAAAAGTCTCATATCTCCAAACTCACCTTAAAAATCCTGAAAAGTTGGATTCTATACTGTCATTTCTCAAAGAAAGTGGTTTCTCCGATACCCGTATTGAGATAATCGTTAGAAGAACACCTAAGATCCTCTCTTCCAGTCTTGATCGTACTATTAAGCCCAAGATCAAGATTTTGCAAGACTTGGGTTTGTCATCAACGGATATTGTTGAAATATTAACTGCTGATCCCTGGTTTTTAACGAGAAGTGTGAAGAAGGTAATTCTACCATCAATTTCGGTGTTGAAGAGTGTTTTAGGATCCAATGCTGATTTTGGTAAGATTATAAAGAGAGGTGGGTGGTTTCTGAAATTGGATTTGGAGAAGACTCTGATACCTAATATAGAAATTTTGAAGGGTTGTGGAATTGCCAGTTCGCAGATTGTTAGATTCATATGTAGTTTCCCCAAACTTTTTCTCCATAAGCCTGATGGCATTAGGAATTTTGTTAAAAGAGTTGAAGAAATGGGATTTGATAGGAAATCTAGGACGTATCTTCCTGCTATTCGAGTAATAAGTTCGATGAATAAGGAGCTTTGGGAGCGAAAGGTGAATCTTTTCAAGAGATTGGGATACAGTGATGATCATATTCTTTCAATATTCAGGAGCACACCCCAAGTATTTTCAACATCTGAGAAGAAGATTGAAGGGATAACCAAATTGCTGCTTCAAAGAGGGAACGTGGATATTTCACTTATCGCTGACAACCCTGTACTCCTTCTATGCAGCATTGAGCACAGATTAAAACCTCGGCTAGAAGTTTTTGACTTACTGACAAGTAAGAATTTAATTCAGAAGGAAATCAGTTTGGTTACCATTTTTATGACATGTGAAACGAAGTTCATACAGAAATATGTGCTTCCTTATTCTGATGAACTTGGAAAACTAATGTATTTTTGGTTAGAAGACATCAAAACTATGAATTGTAATAAAGATCTAAATTTGATCTTAGGATGTTCTGAGGGCTGATTGATATGTAGGTGTTACTATTTTGCTCCAATGAATCATATCTTTTTATTTATTTGTTGTTTTCTGTGGTGTTAAATTGAGGATAAAGTTTAAATTTTACTTGTTTTTTGTTGATTGAACCTAGTTAGTGCATCAAAGTTAAATAAATTGGGAATTGTTGTCTTAATATTCAATATCTGCACTCACTGCCGCCACCTTTTGTTGTATGTTCAAAACCAAAGAACAATTTGTTGTATATTCTTTCTAGAGTACTTTAAGTCACTGAAACTACATTCAAAGTATTGTGTACTCTGGCTTAAATGTTCCGAATGGAGGAAATTTTTTGCTGAAAGGATGCTTCAAACTATACAGGAAACGAAATTTATCCTTGATGATTTGTACCTCAATTTGAATCTGCTGGTGGCTTTTATTTATTTATTTTTTTTCTTAATTAGTTCATAATTTGACATGTGAAAATTTTGCCAAGCCACTTAGCAATGTTTGTGCCTTCAAGATTCTATTTCTAGATGATAAAAAAATAAAAAATAAAAAAGATTCTAGATGATATGCCCCCAAGTTTGTATTCTATTATCTACCACAGATTTGAGACCCAGTACGGACTTAGATCACCCATAAATTATAAGAAATGTGTTGAAGCAGCTGTAATTTAAAAAGAAAAAATAGAAAATTTCATTTTTGTGGTGTAGAATGTGAAAAACGATCATTTTTGTTCGCTGGAGTTGTGAATTCTGTTGTTTTTCGAGATTTGTTTCTTTCATGTGTTTTCCAGTTTTTTCTCTTCTGCAGCTCTTCCAAGAATCGATTCCACAATTTACTTTCATTAAACGTTTTAGTATGTGTAGAATGGAGGGTCATCTTCTATCATTCTATCTCCAGTATGTCTGCCAAACCCTCATTTTGCCAGATTGTATAGGTGCATTGAATAAACTTTTCAACATTCAAAAATCTTCAAGACAAGTTAATCACCCAGTTAGGATATTGAAACCTTTCATTTCAGATGCAGTAAGTAATCAAGTATGCCCATGGATATCACCGGGCTTTGAATTCTTGGTTATGAAATTCTCTGCTACATGAATTGGATGTTGAATGAAGTTTTCTTAGGCCAATAACTACTACTGTTAAGACGAAGTTGTAGGAATTAACATGTATTCATACAAGTGCTCATAACAGAACTTGGAATTCCTTGTTTCAGAAATTTATGATATTGAACCAAATTATTTACACACAAATTACAATCAAACTGTTGTTACAAATTACGAAAACAAAAGGAAAACCCAACCAAACTAAATCAAACCTCAACTCGTTCAACATCAAAACGAGTTCATTTCTAACATATAACTCCTACTCTTAAGCAATTCTTGCACAGCTTCTCTATATATCCCATCACCAAACGCCCCCAGTGCTAGTTCACCATCATCCACGTCGTCTTTCCCCTCACTAGGCCTAACAACCACCAGGGTGGCACCCTCCACCCAAACCCCAGCCTTCAGCATCAGCTTTGGCTCGTGCCTCATCCGCATTTTCACACTCGGCACCATCGTCCGACTCCTGTCCCACTGCCCTTCGCTAACATGCGCCCCTCCTAACCTACACTCTCTCATCCCTTCCTTATCCATCACCACTGTACCCTCCCCTTCTCTATCAATTAAAACTAAACTCTCCATCTCTTCATGCTGTCTAACCACGTCTTCCAACATAAAGTGTTTGGCGGAAGCCACGATTAACGCGCTTATTGTCCACATCACTCTCGTCTTTAATCCTCCCACAATGTCAATCTCAGCCCCTTCTCCGGGATTTTCGCTAGCTGTTGTTGAAGCCGACTTGAACCCGATAATCACGCAACTCTTTAAACTTCTACCGAACTCAGCTCTCCATTTCACAGATACGCCTTTGTCTAAAGTTAGATCACCGGCGGGTAACTCAATCCGAAGATTCCTCACTCGATCGAACTTTGTTAAAATTTGGGCAGGTGAGTTCTGGACTAGGGTTCGGGTCGGATTGTGGGGTTTGATTGAGGTGGATAGAAGGTCGTTGAGGGACTTAAAGAAGATTTTAAGGAAGGTAACGAGGAGTGAATCGGATTCCGACTCGGGCGAGATGACTCGGTCGACTGTTAACGAGAGGGATTCGGTTTGCGGGACTATTGAGTTGAAACGTTTTGAGACGGCACGGCAACGGATCAGGGACTTGATGTCGGAGACTGAGTTGAAGATGAGAAGGATGAGGGAGTCCGGGAGTTGATCAAAGCCGTCCATTTTTTTACAGTCGATCATTTAGGATTTTGGGTGTTTGTAAACTGGGTAAGCTCTGTGTCTCTGCCTTTTAATGGCAAATAAATTGAGTGAATGAAAGATAAAGGAATGGGTGTTGTGCATTAAAAGATTGTACATTTGACCGTTGACATGAGCAGCATGGGGCCCACACTTAAGAGTGCCGGCTTTGGAATTAATGCAACGGTACTATTTGTTATCAGATTTGAAACTGTAATAACACAAACTCAAGGCCAGCTGTGAGATTAAGTTTTTGTTTTAAAAAATGTTTAATGATTTTAGAGGAAATCTTTTACGAGCGTATTTTATAAGAATGGGAAGGTCGTGTTTAATCATTTATGCAAGTGAGATTATTGAGTTAGGTTTAATAATGTTGTCAAGCCTAATCCATGATAATTGATATTGATAGGTATAAGAGTAAACTCATGCCATTTTTATTTCCATGCATAGAGAGGTCATGGCTCATGAGGGGGAGTACTTTGGAATTCTTTAATGAATTGATTAACTTAAAATTTTAATAGATGCATAAATCCGTTTGTTAAAATATTAGCATCAATGAAAGATATTGTCAAATTCGGCATTCCATATTAGTCAGAATATTTAATAGAAACTTAGATATAAGCTATCCATTATAGTATTATACACCTCAGCTTGAGATGGAGACATTTTGAATTTGACTCTATCAACGCATTTGATCAACGTAACTCATAATGGCTCTGTCAATTCACTCGTGTTCTCCCCTGTTTGGACGCCCAACCGCATAACCATTCAACAAGTTGTAGCTGTTTCAGTAGACTGTTCTATTCAATGAGATGTCGATTGGACGAAAAATCAAAGGAACAATTTATATGATAAGTGATTTACAACATAAATAAGGTAATATTGGTATTGGCCTGTCTCAAAACGGACAGTAATGCTTTGGTCGGTCTCATGTCTAGATAAGAACAAGAGTAAACGACTTTTTCCCACCTAAGGTTTGCCTTAATTACTTTCCCACCTAAAAATTTTCAAAATATCAATTTACTATCCAAAGTTTATATTCCATTTACTACCCATAACACCCTTTTTGATTCGGTAGCAAACGGAGAGCAAACTTAATCCAGATTGTTAGAGCTTTTGAAGAAAGGATGCTATTGAGTCTTTTGGTGATGACAAATTAGATTTTAGTAGTCAAGATTGGTATAAATCTAACTTGGGAAGGGCGATTGCATGTTCTATAAATTGCTCGATTACTGGCGACTGGCAAGGTCAATGGGAGCAAGGTTTGAATGGTTTTGGTGAATAACGATCAGGGAAGAGACTAGTGGTGGTGTGGGGTCGGAACAATGTCTGAATTGGCTAGCGATTGACAGCAATTAGCGGAGTTGGCGGGAGCGCACTCACTGGCCAATTCCGATAATGTTGCGACCCCACACCATCACCATTTTCTTCCTTGATCATCACTAACCCTCAAATCTTGTTTCTGTCAACCTTACCAATCACCGACTATCGAGCAATTTATGGAATATACATTTGCCTCTTCCGAGTCATATTCCGACCACTAAAATCCAATCTATCACCCCCAAAAGACTCACCAACCTTTCCTCTTCAAAAGCCCCAGTAACTTAGACCAAGTTTGCTCTCCGCTCGTCGTCAGATCACAAATCCTAAAGGATGTGTATTTTGGATAATAATAGAATATAAATTTTGGGTAATAAATTAGTATTTTGAAATTTTTTGGGTGTAAAAGCGTTGTTGAAGCAAGCCTTGGCAGGGAAAAAGTCGTTTATTCTAAGAACAGTGTGATGTTATGGTTGGTTCAATGTCTTGGTCAGACCGCCAACGTAAAGTTGAATGCGACATGACGTCTAAAACCAGAGGCCCATAATAGCACATTGCATTGTTGTTAAGGTTTTTAATTAAAGGTTAATAAATTGACCCCGTAAACTGTATAAACAACTTCCAAAAATAGTTAATGAATTTAAAACTAAATCTTATCTTTTTGTTTTTCACTAGAAAATCAACTGACTTTTGTTCCCACTCCCTCTCTCAGACCCTCCCATTATCATTTTTTTTTCTTATTCATGCAAAGCAACCTCCATTATCGAATTTCAAAGATACTAACCTCTCCTCTTGTCTTGTCTCTACCACCGCTCCGCATCTTATCATGGCGGAGCGGCTCCCGACTGCCACTGATCCAAATGTCAACCCCAATCAACCATTTCTTCATGACTCCAATGACCCCACCTCGAGGTCCGGCACTTACGTGGTTCAGATTCCAAAAGATCAAGTTTATCGCGTACCACCTCCAGAAAACGCGTTGATCGTTGAACGCCATGATAAAGAGAAGGCAAAATCCTGTTGTTCATGCTGCATTTGTTGTGGTGTGTTCATTGCTATTGTTGTTATTGCTATTGGGGTCATGGCAGCCATTACCATTATTTTTCTTAAAACTTAAGGGCGCGCCTTGTGGATTCTAGTTAATGTATAGAAACCAAGAGTAAGATATTAAGTTAAAAGAGTTGAAATTTCGGAGAAAGAGTGGGGATTTCGCACTAGTAAGGCGGTGTTTGTACATTAATGAGTTTTTCATTTAGGTTTGATCGGTTCAGAAAATTAGTATATATATGAAGGAGGTATACGCCTCTTTGTGTATTGGGGGCGTCAGCCAGTTAGGATGTAATTGAGTTAGATTTTAGACTGGTGGGATTAATTGTTAAATATAATCTGCTAAATGTGCTCGTATTATTTTCCAATCCTGTAAAACTGATCGCTGAGTAAAATTCTAACTGAGGTTTGAATAGACGTAGAAAGTAATTGAATTGGTGTTGGTTTCAGAGAAATTCATCCTTTTGGTTGCGCTTTGTTGTTGTTATTATTATTATTATTTCGTAATCGTTTGAAGCTGATATATAGCATTGTATATGTATATATTAAGGTTATGAATTCATAAAAGGCATGCATTTCTCTAATTTTGTCACTTTTTTTTTTTTTGGGTTTACCAGGGCTGACATTTTATTTAATCTCTTTTTTTTTTCTTTTTTTTATGTTCCTCAACAGTTTCATTCTTTTCCGTAGATATTTTACATCAATACGTGTTGAATTAGGACCCGATGAAACAACTTCTATGTTTAATTTTAGTTTTGGTTTTGGTTAGTTTAAGAATTAATCTACATATAACGAAAGGCACATATTTTACTTTTCTTTGCCTAAACTCATGCATTACATGTGTGAAGTCGAGAAATACTTACACAGGGAAGTCCCACCACCTCACTATACTAACGTGATGACTGATGAGACTATCCAATTAAATAAATGCATCAATTATTAATGACAATAAATAGTTATTTTTTAATCATGGTGATGCTGGAATGAAGGAGAATTTTTTTTTGAATATGTGATAATTAAACATGTTGTCAGCGTTTGAGACGGCAAGAGTGGCAGGACTGAAGCCTGAGTATTATATATTTTATGTATGTCTAAGCGTTGTACAACCTCCAATTTATACAAGAGTGTGGAAATAATAAAGGAAATACAATTAATTGTAATTACATAAAATTAGGGAGGAATTTAGGGAAATGTAATTGCTGAAATCATGTAATGAGACTGCTGGAATCATGTACCTGAAATTAAGTCATAATCTCAGCATTCCATATTTCATCACGCGTCATTATGTCTTCAAATGGTCTTATCACCTCAGTAAAATGAGGTGATGAGACTATCTTATATGTATAAAAACTAGATGGCACGTCCGCGTGTTATATGATTTTATTTATTATTTTATTTTTATTTTATTATCAAATTTTTATATTTTAAAAAATTGTAAACCATTATTGTTTCATAAAAAAAAATATGACAAATATTGATTATAATAGAACATTGTTATTATTCTTTTTTTTTTTTAATTGGGTTTTTATGTTTAATTGGTCCCTGTGTTTACTGCTTATTGGTGTTGATAAAATAGGGATGATTCACATGCATTCAATTAATGTATGCAGTACAGATCTTTCACATTCCTCTTTTAATTTGATAAAATGCAAGTGATGGAAGATTGAAAATGTCAGTTTGTAATTCAGCGGGAATTGAATTAATTGAATTTAAATTAATTAATTGAAGAACAAAATAATACTGGAACATTTTAGTGATAGGATATATTCCATTTTCAAAGCAAAAGAAGAGTTGCAACACTTTTCTTACAACAATTTGGTACATAATAATATAATTGAAATGACATTTTTGCCCTTCTTAAAATTAGTAGTTCCTGCATGGAATATAACCATTGCTTTGAGGTCCAACAGTTAATCTTTCACCATTTTAAGAGGCTACCCAGCACCATGAAATGAGCAAAAATAAAATAAAATAAAATAAAACTTGTCATCCTTCATCATCCAACACAAACTCTATTCGCCACAAAACACAAACTATTACTGGCTACAGAGTCCACAACAAAAACATGTATAACCTATCTAAGAATGTAAGTTTGCAACTTTTTGATAATAAAATATGTTTTATTGATAAACACTTTGCAATATAACATTGTTTATAAGACACAGAAAAACAAAATAAATGGACAATATATATATATATATAGTTCATACTGTGTCTAAGCCAAAAAAGAAGTATTCATTAAATTATTCCGAATGTCACCCCCATCAATACTCACTGTGACCATCATTGCCAAAGGTTGGCTGCATAATAAAGGAATCAAAACTGAATCAATTTACGTTCANCTAGAACATTTTAGTGATAGAATATATTCCCTTTTCAAAGCAAAAGAAGAGTTGTAACACTTTTCTTACAACAATTTGGTACATAATAATATAATTGAAATGACAATTTTACCCTTCTTAAAATTAGTAGTTCCTGCATGGAATATAACCATTTCTTTGAGGTCCAACAGTTAATCTTTCACCATTTTAAGAGGCTACCCAGCACCATGAAATGAGCAAAAATAAAATAAAATAAAACTTGTTATCCTTCATCATCCAACATAAACTCTATTCGCCACAAAATACAAACTATTACTGGCTACAGAGTCCATAACAAAAACATGTATAACCTATCTAAGAATGTAAGTTTGTAACAT